GGTGGGCGGTGTGTGCGGGGGCAGGGAGCTGCCCGCGTACGGGCACCGATGTGCGCGCCTGAGACGGCGTTTCAAAATGGCAATCGGTGCCTCTCGCAGGCTGCGCAGGTCAGACGCCCTGCGACTGACATCCCGGGCCGGACTCCGGCGCTGGAAGGGGCTCCGGTGGTCGTAGCGCGTTTCCCTCCCCAGTCAGAGTGGGTTTTTTTTTTTCCCCTTAGATCGCCAGTACTGCTTGGTCTTGCTTTAAGTCTGTTTTTGCGAGGGTACTTAAGGCGCAATAGACTGTTATTATTTTTTCAGGATTTACAGCACGTAACTCTGGGAGTCTGTGTATGTAGCCGTACTGATGTGGATATAGAACCACCCAGAGATGTTCAAATTCAACTTTATTTCTTTGTAGTAAAGAAAAAATTGAAGGGAAAAAACAAACTCGACATTACTTGCTAGACAACTTGCAAAGTGAACTTGTTGAATCTAATGGTAGACTGCCTGTGATGAGTATTTAGGTATGGGTTATTAAATTCTCTGTCATCCACCATCATTGGTAAGCTGTCTTAATGTTTTTAGTAATGGAGCAGCAGATTTGAAAGCACAGCTTTAATAATATTTTTTGTGAAGTGAAATATTTTTTTAAAATGAGCTGCTTGGTTTAAAACTGCTCTAGCAACCGTATTTTTTTAAGTTTGTTTTTTTTAGGTTTTTTTCTTTTGGTGGTAAGTGAGGTAGTATGAGTTAATGTCTGTTTACTCTCCTGAGTTGTTTGCTCCACCCAAAGAAAGTTGCTGATATAAATGCTTCTAAGAGGCGAGGTTCGTTTGGTTTTACTCATGGGAAATATGACAAATACATGAGCATGGTAATTGCGGCACAAGTTTTGACCTGTCTTCTGCTCCTGACTTTTTCCCTGTGTCGTGAAGTTACAGAGAATCTTCAGTTACATCATTTTCTTCAGAGTCCCAAAACTTGCCTTTTCCTTCTTCAAGCAAACAAACCAAAAAACCCAAACCCAAACACCTCAGCTAGTTCCCATCTGGTCATTTGGGATGTTTTTGTTGTTGTTTGTGGGGTTTTTTTGTTCTTGTTTCTTTTTTAATTTGGTAGCTCATTTTCACTTCAAGTATCAAGGTCAGATGGATGTGGGATTGGTATGGTCTGTTTTATCTGTGTACAGCTGTGTTTATCCCTTTTGAAAGGAAGCTGGGGTTCTGAAATTCCTAATAAGGACTTGCACAGCAGCTTTGAAAAACATATACCTTGCTTGTATTGTAAACGCATTGTGCATTTCCTCAGTAAAAAAGGCAAATATGTTGATAAAATTGCATATGTATTTTTTTATGTGTGATGGAGGTGGGTTTTTTAATCAGCACTTTATATGAAGCCATCTGCTGTCCAGTTGGACTACTGAACAGATTATGCTTCCAGTGCCTGTGGTGGAGCTGCTGCAGGATTAGGCAATATGACACAGGGCACTGGGTTATGAGATTTGGGAGAGTGTGTGTGTGTGTTGTGGGATGGGAAGGGAGGACAGGAGAGGAAGAGGCTTAACCAGCACATAATACAGAGTGTTGGTATTTAATGTAATTGAGCATTTTCTAAAGTCAGGCCAGAACAGAGCAGCTGACCATGAAGTGAGTGCTAAAATAGTTCAGAAGTGACTGCGCGTTGCGATTTATCCTATAGCATGTAACTGATTCAGTCTGGCCTCTTTGAGCTTGGATAGGTTTGAACTTGAGTTTTCTCTCTTTCTGGGGGGGAAAGCTGTGTGCTCCTTAGTAGGACAACTTACTGTGTGCTGTCACCCACTCTTCGTTGTGACATTGAGGTGGAACAAGTTTGTCTGACTATTCTGAGTGCTGGTGCTAATGATTTATTGTAATTGTAGTAGCACTCAGATACTTATTCAGATCTCTTGATGTTCTCAGTCTTACATTTTATATTCTTTACTCACTTGAACAGAAAGGGCATTTCCCACCCTCAGTATTGCTATATTCAAAATATATCTGCATTTTTATCTGAAAACATACAAATCTTGTTTTGTCTCTTTCACTTAATCTGGGAATAAGTCTAGTAAAATTTCGGTTGTGCTGATTTTTTTGGAAGATAATTTGTCTTTAATGTCTTCAGGGAGTGCTCAAAGGTAAAAAAAAAAAAAGGTGGGGGGGAAGCAGGAAAGAACTAATTTGGTTGGAACTTGACTCCCTCATGGTGAATATCACTCTGTTGACAGTAAGCATCCTTTTACTCGAGCATTTAGGAAAGATGACAGCGTTTGGGACACTCAAGTTGAAAATCGCTGTTCTTAGAAAAGTGGGAGTAAGTTTCTTGCTAAGGGAATTGTGAGTAAATCAGAATACCAGGCAGTAACACAGTTTGCCCTCCAGACTATGTGTATTCTGGTTATCTAGAAAGCTTATCTGATAAGAAGGGAAAAGAATTTGGGAGAAGCAGAACAAATGTTTAAGGAAGATCTGCAGTGCTAAAAGGAGAGTACAGAATGGTGGCAGTCTTGGGAGGGATGGAAAGGGGGGAGAGAGAGAGAGAAATCAAGGAGAGGAAACCAAATGTAGAAGTAGTAATTGAAGGAAGTTGTGATATAATTGGTGGGGATTTGGGCTTGACTAGAAGGAAAAGGCCATTAGAAGTACATTACTGTATTTAATCTGGCAAGATTTAAAATCTGTTATGTTTCTGGTTGGAAGCTTTAGTGACAAGGAGGTAGAAAATGAGATTCTTATTTTCTTTTAGATCAGAGACTTAAACTCTGAACAATTTTTTAAGAGCAGATTTTGAACCCTGAATCTTTAACTGAAAGCATGTTTTTGTCTCCTGAAGTTTTCTTAAATGTAGAGAAATATAATTTTTATTAATTTTTTTTTCTGGCAGTCTTTAGGATGATGATATGACTTTGCTGTCTTATGGTGGAGATACTTACTTGTGAATTGGCGTACCTTTATAATAATGTACAGTGAAGTTAAGTGAGGGGAGGATTGGTGACGCTGTATTATAATGGAAATAAATGAAGCTTCTTTGTAGATGCCATATAAATAGAAGTTCCAGTACCTAAGATCTTCCCCAAATCCTTTGCCTGCAAATAAAATCTGGGACTAGCCCTTTTTGGTGTACATGTAACCATGAAATGCTATCTGAAAATCAGTCGCATGAAGCTGAAGATAGTAGTGAGAAATTTCTGAAGTACTGCATTGTCATCAGTATCATAAACAGTATGAACTTCATCTGTACTAATACAGAAATTACATATGAAGTTAAAGCACTTACAGTTCTAATTATGATTCTTTGGCTGAAAATGTTAAGTTCCAGAGAGATTCTCCTGTCAGTTTCCTGGCTGAATTGAATTATTTTCAGTTTTTAAGGAACTTATTTACAGTAACTAGTCTATGAAGCATTAGAAGTGACACCTGAAACTACCACTTACAGTGTTACTGCACTGATGACTTCCTTTTGAACAACTTAAGTTGACTGGTGTAGTGCAGAGAGGCCTCTCTGTGCTACAAAACTCTGCTTACAACTCTATTCTACTGTCTAAATCTTATAGTCTTGTTTATCCATAGGCAGATACATAGTTTTCATCAGTCTCTTTCCTTCTAGACCACTTTTTTTTGGGCTTAAATATGATTTTAAGATGACTGTGAGAACCTCTCAGTAATTTGGAATATCAGTTACTTGTGTAAATTCTAATCTTAATGGTATCTAGTGGGTAGATTTAGCAGCTTTAGAAAATAATTTAAGAGAAAAGACCTTTTAAGGAAGTAAGTGCTGTGTTGCCTAAATGCGTATTTTTTTATGTTGTCATGTTATTTCCTGTAGCTTCCAACTGGTGTGTGGAAGCTTAACAAGCTTTTCTGGGTAAAACAAACAAACACAGGGACAGATTTCTGTTTGACTCCCATTAGAGAAAATGTAAAGTTTCTTTCCACTTGGTAGAAAAATAAATGGATGGGGTTGAGCAGAAGTGTTGCATGCAAGAAGTTTCACAAATCCTTGTGTTATCTTCCAGTATGCATATAGGAATCCTGTCTGTTTGACAGGAAATGCAGAACATGCAACCTATACAGTATATAGTACATACTGGAAAGGAAATAACTTTCTTTTCGTGGTGTTTCTTGTTCCTTGAGTGTTGGTAACTGATCTGACACTCGGTTTCATTGCCTGGTGTATGGAAAGTTGCTTAGCTTAGTTCAGTACAAAGAAGTTCACTCAGAAAATCTAATTCAGGAAATGACCTGCCTTAAAAGGATAAACTTCTTAAATTGTCTCTAATACAAATCTTTTACATGCTGTGAGAACTTCCATGCTTTTATGTTCACAGGCTAATTAGTTTGTATTGAGAATAAATACAGTGGTGGGTTTTTTATGGTTTCATTGCTAAATTTGGAACATTTTACAAAAGAAAACCAAAACAAGCAAATTAAGCCAGTTCACTTTCTGTAACACCAAATTATAATTCAAAATTAGCAATGAGATTGCAAATGTTACCTCCATATTTTATGATTTGTAGTTTCAAATGATATTCTTTAGGAAAATATATTAGCTTATACTTTTAAACACTAGGGTTTTTTTTAGGTAGTTTTAGCAAACATTTTCCGTCAGTGTAAAAGGCACTGGCTGTTCTGTGTACGTGGGTTTTTTTTTTTAAATAATAATTTGTGTACAGGTGAGTGGATTAGACTTGTAGCTCTTGTGTGCCTTGTATAGGTCTTCTGTGCCAGTGCATTGTCTGTGTTTTGGAAAATACAGCTGTATATTTAGCTCAAAAGCAGTAATAAGACAATAGCGCAACTTCGCTGAATCAGCAAGCGATTGCCCCGCGTATACAGGAAGCAGAACCTAAAGTGTTATATGTCTGGTCTCTGTGCAAAGGAGTTAGATGATATGAGATTGACTTGTCCAAATGTGAAATGTTTCTGTTAGTTTTAGTACATTTTGTTAGAGAAGCCAGCAAGATGTCAGCAGCTCTTCATGCTCCATTTTCCATTAGTATTTCAGCAAATGATTGTGTCGGCACTTGGGCTATCTTAATCGGGTGAAGTAAAGTGGATTGGGATAAGCTTTTACAGGTGTGTGCCGCTCCTTCTACAAGGGAAGCGCTGTCTGCTCCCTCCCGTTTGCACGTACTTTGGAAAGAGGAAGCTTGCAGGTTGCCTGTTGTC